AATAGCAAAAAGAAAAAAAAGTACCCCCAAAAGTGAGGATATTATAAGAAGCTTCTGGAGAACCTTCAAGCATACCCACACTGGCATCATGAGGGTAGGGAAAAAAAAAGAGAGAACACAAAGAATTGAAATCCTATGTTTTTAAAAGTGATGATGGGAAAATTCCCTGAAGTGGTGAAGGAAATAGGCATGCAAGTCCAGGAAATGCAGGATCGCAAACAAGATGAACCCCCAAAGGTCACACCAAGAAAAATCAAGAACTAAAACTAAATGCCAAAAACTAAAGACAAAGAGAGATTTTTAAAAGCAGTCAGTCATCTACAACAGAGCTCCTGATTTTCTCACTAGAAACTTTTCAGGTCAAAAGAGATGGGAAAAGCTTTCATTTTTAATGGAAGGACAGATAAAAAGCTTCCCAGGGAAGAAAAAGCTAAAGGAATTTATCACCACCAAACCAGTATTACAAGAAATTTTAAAGGGTTCTCTAGAAGAAGAAGAAGGAGAAGGAGAAGAATGAATAATAAAATGGCTGTAAGTACATATCTATCAAAAATTGCTTTACATGAAAATAAATTAATAGCTCCAATCAAAAGACATACAATGGCTGGTGAATACAAAACAATCCTCTTAGATGCTGTCTTCAAGAGAATCAATTCAGATCAAAAGACAAACAAGAATGAAAGTATAGGGATGAAAAAAGACATATTTCATGAAAATGGAAATGAACAAATAAAAAAGCTGGAGTAAGAATACTTACACCAGACAACATACACTCAAAAGAAAGGTGATGTAATAAGAGAGAAAGAAAGGCCCATCATTTCCACTTCTTGATATTTACTTGAAGAAAACCAAAACACTTCACCAAAAGACATGCTCATTCATATGTTCATTGCAGCATTATTTACACAAGCCAAAATGGAGCTACCTGAGTATCCATTAATAGATGATTTGATAAAGAGGTGGTGCATATATAAAACAAAATATGACTAAGCCACACACACAAAACTAAAATCTTGCCATTAGCAACAACATGATGGAGGGTATGGTGCTGGGTGAAATATATCAGACAGAGAAAGACAAATGTCAGGTGATTGCACTTATATGTGGAATCTGAAAAATAAAGTGATCGAGCAGAATGGACATGGATTCACAGATACAGGGAACAGAGTATTATAGTTGCCAGATGGGAGAGGGGTTGGGGGACTGGGTGAGAAAGGAGAAGGGATTCAAAAGGACACACAGGTCATTACAGAACAGTCAGCAGGAAGTAAAGTGCAGCACAGGGAATAGAGTCAATAATATTGTAATAACTACATATGGTGTCAGGAGGGTACTGGATTTATCTGGGTGATCGGTTTATAATTTATATAAATGTGTAATCACAGAGTCCTACACCTGAAACTACATAATATAATACATAAACCATAATTGACAAATGAAAAGATATTTTTAAAAGAAGATAAATATAGCTTGAATTCACTATACAAATGGATTAATTTTTTTAACTGTCCTTAATGAAAATGGAGATTAAAAATGTAATTATCTCCTATGATGACCGGGAAAGTGCACAAACACACTTCTGCTACTTGATTCCCAAGTGCCATGAGCACAGGAAAGTGACCTGTGAGGGCTGAGTCAGCCTCTTCTTCATAGAACAGCAAGTTCACTGAAGAGAATGAGAGACACAGAACCTGTGATGACTGAGGTTTGGTGAACTGGCCAACACTTTCTCAAATGAACATGAGCTTCTCCCTCAAGGAGAGTCAATGGGCAGTTGACACCTGACAGCACTTGTTGTCTGGATGGAATGGAAGCTCTCAGAGGAAAACCAGGGTTCTGGCAAATGTGTTTCTCCCCATGGCTGCCAGACAGCTTCCCAGAGCTGACAACCATTTCCAGTGGGGTCTGTGGTAATGTTAACAAATGTGATTTTTGATGACGTGCCATTAAATGCACCAACACTGGGGGATCTCTATCACTTAGTGAAACAATGCATTAATTGTAAATAATCCTGCATCAGTACAAGAGCCACTGAGGTAATGCAACAGAATAGGAAATACTCAGTGGATTTGTTTCAGGTTCCACTTTGCAAAGAGCTTTTCACAAACTACCACTTGTGTGGCCTTAGGGTTTGATGAAAGATGAATACCCACATTTATCTGAAAAGGTTATTAAAAATTATCCTCCTACATATTTGTGTGAGGCTGTATACTTTTTTCATGTACTGCAACTAAAATAACAGATTAAATGCAGAAGCAAATATGAAAATCCAGCGGACTGCTAATGATCCAGACAAGAACTGACACTTGCAAAAATGTAAAATGTAAGCGATCGTCTCTTCTCACTACCTTGTGTATTTAAGAAATAGGGGTTTTTTTTACTAAAAAACATTATTTCTGTTAACGTTATAGGTTATTAGTACTATTCCAAATGAATTAATTTTTCAGACTGTTTTATTCCTTCTATGGTAAATACTGATCTCTATAACCCACACCAACAAATGTATTTTGGGGTTACGCTGTATTTTGTGAGACTGTATAGATGTTCTGAATCCAAACTGTTTGAGAGTCATTGAATGAAACAGCCCGTGGTCAGGGACTCAGGGAGACAGCGGGACACAGTTCTCTGTGCAGGAGGAGGGCTGGGGTCAGAGTCCTAGGTCCCCAGGCCTGGCTCTCAGGGTCTCAGCCCAAGGACCGAGTCTGGGGCGGGGACGCTCTGTGTAGGGTTGGCCCTTCTTCAGGTTTCCCTTCTCCGTCTCCCGGGTCCTCCTGCCCGAATACTGATGACGTTTTCCTAGTCCTCACTCCCATTGGGTGTCCCAACTCCAGACCAGCCAATCAGCGTCACGGTGGTTCTGGGTTTAAAGTACTCTGGCAGTAACCGAACTCCTCCGCAGACACTCCGCAGGGATCATGGATTCTGGAACCCTTCTCTTGCTGCTCTCGGGGATGCTGGCCGCGACCCTGACCGAGACCTGGGCCGGTGAGTTCGGGGTCAGAAGGGAACAGCCTCTGCCATACAGAAGCAAGGGGACCTGGAGGGACATAGGAGCGGGGGTGCACGTCTGCACCATCCTAGGTCCAGACCCCTGGCCCCATTAGACTCAGGCCTCGGCCTCGCCCCTCCCTTCAGTCACCGCCCCCTTTCTGTCTCCAGCGCCCCCTGCTCCTCCCCTCCCGACAGCTGACTCTGGACGCGTGTCCTCCCCGCCCCTGAGGCCCCACAACCTGAGAATTTCCAAGACCTTCGTGTCCGGATCGGGCCGCAGAAAGGACTGGTACATCGCGGTTGGCTTTGTGGATGACACGGAGGTCGCGCGGTTCGAAGGCGGCGTGCTAAATCCGGGGCTGGAGCCGCGGGTGTCGTGGCTGGAGCAGCGGCTGGTGGAGCAGGAGGATCCACATTTGTGGGAGAAGCAGACACGTGTCTGCAAGGGCAGCGAACACTGTTTCCGAGAGTTCCTGAACAACATGCGCGCCTACTACAACCAGAGCGAGGATGGTGAGCCACGCGCGCCCAGGTCCAGGCAAAACACCCACTCCCACGGGAGATCCTGGGTTCACCTGAGTCACCGAGTCTGCTGGTCACCATGAGTCTCTGGGACCCACTAGTCCCAAAAACGAGAAAAGCCAGCGGGGATTTTGACCCGGTATCATTTGTATTCAGTTTAGGTTTAATCACCGCAGGTCCCTTTGCTACTGTCCCCTGAGCAGGGCTAAGTGGGAGGGACTAAGACGGGAGGGTCTGACCACCCGTCTGGGGTCAGTGTCGCACACCCACCAGGAAATGACTGTCTGCGACGTGGGGTCGGACTTGAGCTTCCTCTGCGGGTACAGTAAGTTAGCCTACGATGGCACCTACTATCTCCTACGGACCGCGGACCTGCACTCCTTGGCCGTGGCCGACAAGGGGTGCGAGATCACTTGGCGAAATTTGATACCGAACCTTGATGTAAACTACTGGGCGTTCAACCAGGTGGACCTGTGCCAGCGCTGGTTACACATCATCCTGAAGAAGGGGATGGAGACGATGCTCCGAGCAGGTATCAGGGCGCGGGCCTCCCTGAGGAGGGGATCTGTGGTCTGGAGCGGCTTCCTACAAGGAGAGGAGGAAAATGGGGCAGTGTCAGAATCCCCTTCCTGCTTGGGGGAGGGAAGAGTCCCCAAGGTTTCCATATTTGTGATTCACCAGAGGGCCCAGCTTCCTCTAAAGGACAATAACGGACCCAGCCTCTCCTCAAAACATCCACAGCGGTTCCCTCACACCCTGCAGCATCTGGTGCATCCACACTCTCTCTGGATCTCAGGCTGGGCCACCTATGGAGGCCTGACTTGGGCTTTTGTGAGTCATTCTGCCTCCACCTGAATCTGAGTCTCTCTCACCTCCCACGCACCCTCCCACCCCACAGAGACCTGCACACTCCTACCCTGGGTTCTCACTCTGAGTCTAGACCATTCCAAGGAAATAGGAGGTTATCCCAGTTGCCTCTGTACAGGCTGGTGTCTGGGTGGTGCTCTCCTTTGCCCACCTCAGCTGTCCTGTCCACTCTCAGGGTGGTCACATGAGCACTGCTGGAGTGTCCCATGACCATGCAAAGTTCCTGAATTTTCTCACCCTCCCCTCAGACCCTCCAAAGACACATGTGACCCACCACCCCATCTCTAACCATGAAGTCACCCTGAGGTGCTGGGCCCTGGGCTTCTACCCTGCGGACATCACCCTGACCTGGCAGTGTGATGGGGAGGACCTGATGGAGGACATGAAGCTTGTGGAGACCAGGCCTGCAGGGGACGGGACCTTCCAGAAGTGGGCAGCTCTGACTGTCCCCCCTGGAGAGGAGCAGAGATACACGTGCCATGTGCAGCACCAGGCACTGCCTGAGCCCCTGACTCTGAGATGGGGTGAGGAGGGGGTGTGGGCACAGAGCCTCTCCTCAGGGTGTCCCTGAGCAGGGTCAGGACTCAGGCCTGAGGTTGACCTCTCACCTTCCCTTCCCAGACCCCCCTCCTCAGACCACCATCACCATTGTGGGCATTGCTGCTGCCCTGGGTCTCCTTGGAGCTGCAGCTGCTGGAGCTGTGCTGTGGAGGAGGAAGTGCTCAGGTGGGCAAGGGGTGGGGCTGAGTTCCCTGTCCCCCTGGGGGTCAAGCCCAGGTGGAAGTGTGCTCTGTCTGCTTAATGGGCATCGTGTCCCCACACAGATGCTTGTCCATCTGGGGCCTGTTTGCTAACACTGACTCTTTAGTGAGGCCTGTGGGAAAGTGAGGGACACATTTGTCACCTGATGGTTCTAGTCATGGGGACTGATTCCCAGCTGTCACAGGTCAGAGGAGAAGGTCTCTGCTGAGAACAGACATCCAGAGCAGTGGTAGGTCCAAACCCCGCACATGTACTTTCCCTGTATTTCCTGATCCTACCCTAGGTGTTCAATCACAGTTCTGGAAACTTCCTCATGCTTCAGAAGTGTGGGGCTCCTTTGGGGTCACAGGACCCAGCCTTCCCTCTGACTTCTCACAGTAGGTTTTCTTCCCACAGGCACAGACAATGAGAGCTATGCTCAGGCTGCCTGTAAGTCTGGGTGTTGGGGAGGTGACATCTGGGACCCTTGGGAGAATGTGTGCTGGTGTCTGTGAGGGGGGCTCCCCCACCCTGTAACTTTGCTGTTGTGTCTTCCCCAGACAGTGACGGTGCCCAGGGCTCTGATGTGTCTCTCACAGCTCCTAAGAGTGAGACCCTGAGGGCAGGAAGTGGGGGTCATTGGAACCAAGGGCACAGCTGGGTTTTGGGGATTCTCAGAGTGGGACACTCTGAGCATGTGGTGGCTCTGGGAGAATGTGACACTTCTGAGACTGACCTGAGTTTGTTCATGACAACTTTCTTTCCAGTGTAACAGAGCTGCCTTCTATGGGACCTACTGCTAAAATAGTCACTGCAGTCACTCCCCTTGGGACTTTAAGGATCCCTGACTGATGTATCTGCAACCGGCATTAGAATGTCTTCATTCAATTAAATTTCACTCTGTGTGTGTGTGTGTGTATAAATTTAACAGAAGTGATTTGGTTAAAACCTCCAAGTTGTATGGTTACCAGTAGTGGTTATTGTATCTACATCTTCACCCCGTTTGTTAAGCTGTTTTAGTCACTTGAAGGTCATACACTTACCATGAGGTGTGAAGACAACCCAGGTGGGAGAGATGGTGTGCCATGGGACACAGGGACCCCACGTTCCCCAGTAATGTTCCCTGTGACCACCTGTGCTCTGTGTGCAATTAAGGGTTTCTTCCCACACATCTGAATGTACTTTTTGGAACCTGTCGCTGTGGCTGGTTTAGACCCCTGATTCTACCCAAGTGTCACTTTGATGCCTAGAAGTCACCCCAAGCTTCCAGGACCCCCTCTTGTAGACTCCAGGGGTGTCCATTTGGGTTCAAAGAGCTGACTAATCAGAAGGTGAGAACACCTGCTTAAAGCAAGAGATGTTCCAGCATCCACTGTCCTTAATTCACTGCAGACCCTGCTCTCATTCTGCAGATACTGACTTCTGGAAGGTCATGGTCAAGGAGCCAATGTCCTTAGTGACTTTTTCTGAGAGTGCCTCCCCGAGAGAGCCCTTGGGCCAAAGGGTCAGTCTGGCTGCTGGGCTGAAAACAGAATCGGGAGACAAGAGACCAGCGAGGCAGGAGGGAAAGGTGTGGGGAAGCTCCCATGGTTCCAGACTGCAGGTGGTGGGTGTTCTGACGGAGCTGTGAAACAGGGGGAAGGGACTGGACCCTGAATGCATTTGGAAGATGGATTTCATAGCATTTCCTAAGGATTCAATCTGAGGTGTGGGAAAGGAGTCAAGGGCACCCCACATTTGTACTGTGCCAGGAGAAAGATGGTTTTATATCATCAGAGAGGGGGAAGACACTAGCAGGAGCATGTATATGGGAGGGGTTAAGAGAAGGTCAAGTTGAGATGTCTGTTAGAAACACCAGTGAAGTGTCAAATTGGACAGATGAGTGTGAGGACCTTGAGGAGAAATATCTGGGCTGGAGACATAGGTGTGGAGATGATGCTAGAAAAATGACATTTAAAGTTGTGAGCATGAATGCGGCCACCAAGGGAGCCAGGACTCAGAAGAGGAAGAACAAGGACTGGACACTATACCTCTGTGTCCCGACAGTTTGCATGTTCACCTTGGTGACTCATCCAGGTTGGTGACGTCCAGGTCTCCCCATCATAGATTCACCATTTGGTGTTCGTTATTCATTAGAAATTTACAGGGAGATATTCTGAGATTGTCCTGCTGTGTTCTTCACCACTTCTACACTCACCCTCCTTAGCTTCTATTATTACTTCCACCCAAGTCAGTGAAAATATGATGGTTGTCCCATATTGACCCTGAATATTTATTAGTAGGATGTAAAGCGTAGCTTAGAGAATGTACCCAATAATGTTGTCGTGTCTACGGATGGTGTCAGATGGGTACTAGATGTATGGGGGCGATTATTTAACAAGTTATGTAAATATCTAATCCCAGGGTTGTATAGCTGAAACTAATATAGTATTGTATGTTAAGTGAAACTGAAAAATTTTTAAAGTTAAACTCATGGACACAGAGAACAGTGTAGAAATTGCATGTGGGAGGGTTTGAGAGGTGGAAGAGGGTATTGAGGGATAAACAGTGATGGAAAATATGAAGAAAAAAAGAGAAAAAATATTTTAAATATAAAACGTAATATCTTGGACTTTATGCCCAACATTCTGAGAGCAGTTTGGGGGGAGACATTTGAGTATTTTGTGGCAGGCCCATACTATTTTCTCTGCCATGGAGGAAAGTCAAGCAGAAGATTTAGAAAGTGGCTCCCAGTTCAACATAATAAGAATCTCCAAATGCTCATTCTCTGCAGTTATCTTCTTTATTGATTTTTGGACAAATAATGGAACCCCAAATTTTCTAATTTAAACATAAAGGAATTTATGCAGAGTTCAGCTACTGGATCATACAAGATGATCACTGTGAGGGACTTGGGGGCAGGGTACAGACAAGAGTAGGAGCTGAGGTAAGAGCCCAGTCAGAAACACAGTGGCATGGGCTCCTGGCTGAGATGTCCCTGCACCCCAATGACATGTGACTCTAAGCTCAGCTCTTCCCAGGAACAGGGGACACTTTCTCTGCCTCCTGCCTGCTATTTCTGAGGGTGTCTCAGTAATGGCCATCACTGTCCCCAGTCAGCAGACATGTCTGAGGATGATCTGCATCTGGCAAGTTTGCTCTATGTTAGAGATGCCCCAGGCTCACCACACAGATGGTGTCACTGACAGGACAGATGACATGATAGTGGCATCTCTGTGGGGAGGTCAGGACCATACACTCTGTCCCTGTAAGTGGGATTAGGAGCCACCCTGCCTGAGGAATCCCTGCACAGAGCTGTGGAGCTCAGACCAGCCAGGTGAGGGCTGCCTTGCATCCACTCTCAGGGCAGAACCAGAAAGGGTCAGCCCAGGAGGGACTCAGAGCTGAGAGTGGACAGTGCTCTGTGTGGGACTTGCTGAGCCTGCCTGGTCCTAAGCAGCCCCTCACACACGGGCTGGGCAGGTTTGAGGGAGAAGGGCAGGGGGTATTTCAGGAGGGTCCCTGCAGGTCCCTGCACCCTGGAGTCCTTGTTAGTGAGAGAAAGGGGTTGGTCCGTTGCAACCTAGGCACAGCCTTGTATGGCAGGAGCCGTGGAGCTCCTCCACGCTGAACAAAATTCGACTTTTCTGAGACCGCCAGGTTTAGGGTTGGGTGTGAGGACAGGAGTGTGAATTGCCATGCAGTATTCAATTATGACTTAAAAATCCTGGGTCATGAAATGAGACCCAATGAGAAACACATACACAGCTACAGACAGAAGGACACAGAGAAGTGTCTGCCCTTCAGTGATTCACACACACACTTGTCCTGTTTGAAATCCCCCTGCAGGAGGTGCCGACCTCTCACAAATTTCTGCTGGGACATTGTCATCCTTCCATGGTTACTGCGTGTGTGAGTGTCACTCACATTTCTGTCTCTCAATAAATGAGGATGCTCCTCTGACCTCTCTTAACCTTAGGCAGCAGGGAAGAGCAAAGAATTTGAAGTGAGATGAAGTCCCATTATTTTCCAAGTCTTCCAGAACAGTGTGAATATTGTGAAAATAACCAATATATGGCTTTTTAAAAATCCAATTATGAATTAAACCAGTACAAATTTAATTAGGAATTAAATCAGTAGTTCAACAGAGTGCTTCACATTTGGAAATACAGTGCACTGAATACACCTTAGGCCATGCTGTGGTCTGCATGTTTGTGTCCATAAATCCATGTGCTGAATTTATAACCCCCAGCCCTGGCTGGTAGCTCAGTTGGTTGGCATATCATCCTGCTATGCCAAGGCTATGAGTTCTATCCTTGGTCAGGGCAGGTACAAAAGTTAACCAATGAATGCATGAATAAGAGGGACAACAAGTAGATCTCAATAACAGTCTGCCCAACATGGTAGAACCATCAGCTGTGGCTGCTTTTGGTGAGGCATCAGCATAGCAGCAAATGCGTTAAGCTGATTTCCTCTGATGACCACACCCAGGTACATTTTCTCCAGGATCCCATGAGCAGCAGGTTGCTGGCCCTGTTCACCCTCAAAAAGAGTAGCTAGTATTCGAGACACTGTTGTCTGGCTGATGGTAAGATGTTTTAGTGCCAAGCAGGTTCTAGAGCCTCTAGTCTTCTCCTTTCATGCCCTGTCTTATAAGAGAGCTCATTGTACTTTGGTGCAGCTTTATGGAATTTCTTTCTAAAATCAAGAGCATGTGCATGGCATACCTATCGTGCACCTGTAACTGTTTGCTGGTTGATTTGTTCTGAAGCAATGAGGCTGGATTTATGGAAGCCTCTGCCTGGATTAGATCATCGCTCTGCAGACCTAGCTGAGCCATCTTCAGGGATGCCTCCAGGTCTCAATCCACATGGTACTGTTTTGGTCCCGTTTGCAAAGGAATTCCCACCAGCTCTTGGGCTGCCTTTCTCTAGTCTTCCTCCTTCTCTTCTGGGGATGCAGATGCTGTCTCATGGAAGGAGCCTGCTCCTCAAGGAACATGACACTTTGCTGAACCCTTTCCAAGGTGAAATGAAGGGTTCTTTGGCTGTGCTATCAGGCAAGTTAGGGAGGTGTGTACAGAAATCTGTCAGCAACTGTGAAGAGATCAGGAGGCTGACATTCTCATTTACCACGGCTTCCACAAGAACTTCCAAGCTTCTAGTTGTTCTGCTCCAGGTAACCGAATGCCTTTTTTTTTTACATACATACACAATGAAATATTTAAATTATTTTTTTCTTTTCTTTTTAAAATATATTTTATTGATTATGCTATTACAGTTGTCCCATTACTCCCCCTTCATTCCCCTCCATTCTGCACACTCTCTCCCACCCACATTACCCCCCTTTAGCTTATGTCCTTGTGTCATAAGTTCTTTAGCTTCTACATTTCCCATACTATTCTTGCCGTCCCTCTGTCTATTTTCTACCTACCGTCTATACTACTTATTCTCCATACCTTTTCCCTTCTCTCCTCCTCCCACTCCCCTATTGCTAACGCTCCATGTGATCTCCATTTCTGTGGTTCTGTTCCTGTTGTAGTTGTTTGCTTATTTTGTTTTTGTTTTAGTTGTGGTTGTTAATAATTGTGAGTTTGCTGTCATTTTACTGTACATGTTTTTTATCCTCTTTTTCTTATCTGCTTTCTTAGATAAGTCCCTTTACCATTTCATGAAATAAGGGCTTGGTGATGATGAACTCCTTTAATTTTACCTTATCTGAGAAGGACTTTATCTGCCCTTCCATTCTAAATGAAAGCTTTGCTGGATAGAGCAATCTGGGATGTAGGTCCTTGCCTTTCAAGATTTGAAATACTTCTTTCCAGCCCCTTCTTGCCTGTAAGGTCTCTTAAGAAATCAGCTGACAGTCTGATGGGAACTCCTTTGTAGGTTAGTGTCTCCTTATCTCTTGCTGCTTCTAGGATTC